TAAAAAAAAAAAAAAAATGATAATGATAAGAATTCCTGAAATAGCTTTGTAGAAAATATTTTCTACTACTCGATATAAAAGCTAGGTTTTCCGCAATGCGATACTAATATTCTTGCTGAGAAAAACCAAAGTGCATATTTTTTATAGATTGTTCCGTTCCAAATAAAAAAAGTTAAAAAACAAAAACGCTAAGAATAAAGTTGTCCGATCAGTCATTTACGACCCATCACCTCGAAAAAAAATGAACGCCGCTCGAGAAAATCTCAATCAATTGAGTAGTAAAAGCCGGAGGTCGGCAAAAGTAAAGTCGAGCGCTCGGCAAGGTGTCACGAACGAGCAAAGCTCACGTGTGTACACATAAAATATACATGCGTCGTCACCTTCACATGTGGAAGCGAAGAGCTGATGAAAAATCGTAAGTATAAATAAAAAGCCGAAAATTAGAGGACAAGAAGGGCTTTATGGGGCGTGTAGTACACAGCTTTTAGCTGTAATTCAAGTTTATGCGCGCCCCTCCTCGAGTGGACGCAATAAAATGGACGCGCGCTGTAGAACCAAAGGACCGGACGAGGGTATGCATGCTCTCCTTTAAAATAGTTTAACAGCGGGTTGTAGGAATTTCGCGTATCCGAAAATTGATGTAGGCTTTTTTTTTTTGTTTTTTTGTTTCTTGCAAGTATTTAGTTTTTGTCAATAGCCGCGAAAAATGAAACACTACCACACGATTTTTTGCCCAAAGAAATTTTAGCCGCTAGAGGATTTTTTCGAAAGGAGATTTCAAATTAGGAGATTGCCTATTACTTTTCCTGCATCCGTAGCACGGGAAGTTATATTTTTTTATCGTTATTTTAGTATCATTTAGGGGACGCACACGTGTAATTAGATCTAATTCCGCGCGCACGGCACGCGATAGCCGGCGGTGGTGGAACCCACCGTTTCGTTTTTAATGACCCTCTCCTGATTTGGATCACTCCGGGGGAGCCTCTCTCTTCGGTGATAGGCGCACAGGATCGTTAAAAGTTACGATCTCGTTCCGAGGCAATTAACCTTCCGAAAGTGAAATATCTGGCGACCGAAACATTGTTTGTCTCGCTATGCGATTAATGAAAAAAAAAGCCCATACATCGGTTTTTTCGCTGCGATTACGAGAGCGGAGATAAAACGAGTCGAGACGCGCACGTATACCCTAATTCGATCATCGTGCCGAAGGCCCCTTATTAATTTAAAAGCGCAATTTCNAGGTGCGTTTTTTTTTTTTTTTTCTTTAGAAAATGTAAAAATAATAAAGTTTGAGTAGCTTCTCCTCAAAAAAGTATGCATACAATTCCCACAGAAACCTACACTCATGTGGGAGGCAAAAAAAAACAGTTGTACAATTACAAATTGATGTAAAGTTTATTTAAATGTTTTTAAACGTTGTTTAAGCGCATTGAGAAAAGTTTGGCGATGCTTACAACTTTACGGGGCTTGTAACTATCTATTTGTTTATTTATCATTTCAAAAGCGGGCACAAGTAAGTTTCCCCGTCGACAATTATTTTCCATCGGACACTCGGTAGTGCGGAATTCGAGTTCTTGCGTGCTCTTCGTCCGGCCGGCGGACCTCTTGGGAGTCCTGGGGAAAAAAAAAAAAAAAAAAATGCGAAAACGGTGCGACCACCAGCGGGATATTTGACGCCTATAACAGAGCGATCATCCCATCCTTCGGGTTCGCGCAATTAACCCCACCGAGAAGCGAGAGAACGAGGATACACACGCACGCGAAGCAGGAGGAGGAGGAGGAAAGGGGCCGAGATTGGTCTGGACCCCGTCGACTGGGTGGTCCGTACGGCCGGGTGTAATTTTCGGCGCGGGCCCTCCTCCCCCACCTTTTTTTTTCAAGCCCCCAAATTGACGTGTATCGGCTCTCTCTCTCTGGACGCCATTTTACGTTCGCGCGCCAACATTTCTCTCCCCGTTTCCTATGGGAATCCCAAAATATATAGATGTATATTTTTTTGTCGGTCGTTTTAATAGCGTGCTAGTGGTCGAGAAACAAAAGCCATACTTGCTCGTGACTCGGGCTTTTTTACGCCAAAGCGTGTACCGAGACATTGGGGGCAGTACGACTCGGACAGCGAAATGACGATGTCGGTCGAGTCGAATCAATCTCGGAGTGGTGTAGTAGACGGAAAAGTCGAGCGGGGCACGCCCCCTTCCCCGCGCACGAGCCCGTTGTTGCTGCGGAGTCGTGCGTTGTCGTGCCGCATAATATAATGTTCCACGCTACAACAGTCCCGATACCTACTTGTATGTAGGTACGTGTACCTTATCCACGTCGGGTATACCCGAGTCGAGGAAAATCGTCACGCGCTCGGGGGGACCTTCCGGATGGGTGTACATGCAGAGGAGAAAAACGTGCCCTGCACTTACGAGGCTAAACACACGCTGCGCCCACATTATTCTCGTTCGCGGGTCGGCCGAGCAATTAATCACGCTTGCATTTACAGTTTCGCGCATATTATTGCCGACGCACTCTCTCTCTTCTGCTCTTTCTTAAGCAGTGTGACCGCACATACCCGCCCAGTCGCACATTATTTCGCGTTTAATTGTTCTCGGAACCTTGTGCCCGATTGTTCATGTTAGTGTACCTCGGGGGGCGTGGGAGACTATCAGGGCGGTCGCGGCTACATTTTCTCCTGACGGCCTGTTGGCTTTGTCGCTTCGGGGACGCTGGCGATTGTTGAAGCGATGCTCTTCGACGGAGAGGGCCATTGTTAACACACAATATATCTATGTATTTATTGGCAGGCTGATTTTAGATGCGCATTACTCAATAATCTTGAGATATATAGAAATAGTTGCGAATGTTTTGCGTGATTGATGATTTAAATTGTACAGCACGAGTATTATGAGCATTTATGGGGAAAAAAACTGCCACGCGTTTAGCTTTATAGACGAGATACTTCAGTAGCAATACAGCAGTACTTACGATTCGAGTCTATATGGCTATAAAACATCTTAGGTATAATGTAACATCTATTGCGTCCGACAGCTTGGAATGCGCATATTGCCTCTCTAAGTATTATATATATATTAATTCCTGAAATAGCTTTGTAGAAAATATTTTTTACTACTCGATATAAAAGCTAGCTTTTCCGCAATGCGATACTAATATTCTTGCTGAGCAAAACCCAAGTGCATATTTTTTATAGATTGTTCCGTTCCAAATAAAAAAAGTTAAAAAACAAAAACGCTAAGAATAAAGTTGTCCGATCAGTCATTTACGACCCATCACCTCGAAAAAAAATGAACGCCGCTCGAGAAAATCTCAATCAATTGAGTAGTAAAAGCCGGAGGTCGGCAAAAGTAAAGTCGAGCGCTCGGCAAGGTGTCACGAACGAGCAAAGCTCACATGTGTACACATAAAATATACATGCGTCGTCACCTTCACATGTGGAAGCGAAGAGCTGATGAAAAATCGTAAGTATAAATAAAAAGCCGAAAATTAGAGGACAAGAAGGGCTTTATGGGGCGTGTAGTACACAGCTTTTAGCTGTAATTCAAGTTTATGCGCGCCCCTCCTCAAGTGGACGCAATAAAATGGACGCGCGCTGTAGAACCAAAGGACCGGACGAGGGTATGCATGCTCTCCTTTAAAATAGTTTAACAGCGGGTTGTAGGAATTTCGCGTGTCCGTAAATTGATGTAGGCTTTTTTTTTTTGTTTTTTTGTTTCTTGCAAGTATTTAGTTTTTGTCAATAGCCGCGAAAAATGAAACACTACCACACGATTTTTTGCCCAAAGAAATTTTAGCCGCTAGAGGATTTTTTCGAAAGGAGATTTCAAATTAGGAGATTGCCTATTACTTTTCCTGCATCCGTAGCACGGGAAGTTATATTTTTTTATCGTTATTTTAGTATCATTTAGGGGACGCACACGTGTAATTAGATCTAATTCCGCGCGCACGGCACGCGATAGCCGGCGGTGGTGGAACCCACCGTTTCGTTTTTAATGACCCTCTCCTGATTTGGATCACTCCGGGGGAGCCTCTCTCTTCGGTGATAGGCGCACAGGATCGTTAAAAGTTACGATCTCGTTCCGAGGCAATTAACCTTCCGAAAGTGAAATATCTGGCGACCGAAACATTGTTTGTCTCGCTATGCGATTAATGAAAAAAAAAGCCCATACATCGGTTTTTTCGCTGCGATTACGAGAGCGGAGATAAAACGAGTCGAGACGCGCACGTATACCCTAATTCGATCATCGTGCCGAAGGCCCCTTATTAATTTAAAAGCGCAATTTCGCGATATTTAGAATGAAAGGAGTCGCAAGGAGTATCGTGCTCTTCGTCCGGCCGGCGGACCTCTTGGGAGTCCTGGGGAAAAAAAAAAAAAAAAAAA